GTATTTATAATTCCATTTCAATATACATAAAAAAGAAAAAATAGCAGTATACATGTACAATCATCCAACATCCCTCCTCCAACTCCACTCCCTCCCCCCCTCCCCAGGACTATGCCATTTCTTTCAAACCCCAATTAAGGAGGCCCTCTGAATATTGAGATTGTCTTGATTATGAAACTTGGATTAAAATATGTTTTTTGTGGCTGCTGCTCACTGAATATAACAGACATCTTTAGAGAAGGGTAGATAAAGGAAGATAAATCTTAGTGTCACCTACTGTAGTGCGGAAATACAGTTCCATAATTTTTAATGACTGAGTGGTGATGGGAATCATGGAAAAAACCTATTTTAAAAAAGGGTGCTCATTGACTTAGCTACATTAATAGGTCATGCCAGTTGTGAAGCAAATTACTTTTAATTGTGTTAAATTGATTGGGAAGCAGGATAGTTAAATGCTTTTTTCTTAAGTGCATCACCTTCATGACTATGAAGAAACAGAAGATTCCCTCTCATACATTTTGTACATGGGAAGCATAGAATCAGGACTATGCCATTTCTTTCAAACCCCAATTAAGGAGGCCTTCTAAATATTGAGATTGTCTTGATTATGAAACTTGGATTAAAGTATGTTTTTGTGGCTGCTGCTCACATTACAACAGATATCTTTAGAGAAGGGTGTGTCGTGAGAACATCCCTAAGAAAACCAGGAACTCTGAATTGTAATTACTCTGTCAGTACCCTTAGGCAGAATACTTGGCAACAGCTTTAGCTTTTCAAAAGATAACCTATACATTCAAAATAAGATTTTTGGCTAGAGTGTGAAGTGTTTATTATGCTGTGCAGAAATATGTACTGTGCCATCCACAAATATGAGGGTAAAAACCCAGGTGTGTTATAAACAGCACTGTGTTTGCCATATCTCTGAAATCATAAAAAATGTCAGGCAATTTAGGTGGAAGAGTGTCAAGGGAACCAATAAATGCTGAGTGAAGCATCTAGCTATGAAGTTTATGTAGCAGTACTGAAGAGACATCACTGACTGTGTTAGCTTTAAATCAAGATGATGGAAAATCTTGATTTAATCATCATTGATCTTGTTATTGACATATAAAGGCCTAGCTAACTTCGGAGAAGACTTTGATATCTTACACTTAACTTTCCAAAGAATCACAACATTCAAGAAAATAATCATTTTTTGATGATGTTATTGTGTAGATTGCCCTTCAGCAATAACTGCTAGGACCTGTTTCAGATGCCTCCCAGAGATGCATCTTTACCCAAGTCTTCCTTGTATGAATATTAGCTGTTATATATGGATGTATATATTTACTGATTAAATGGTTCCACTTATTGTATTTCATAATGATTTTATATACCTAACACTTTATGGAAAATGTATTCTGCTTCAAGATAAATAAACATCAGTTATTGTAAGTGCATTAGTTGTGTTGCATTTGTTTTTAGCTGTGTATGGATAGCCTTCATTTAGCAACCACAGTTGTGGCTAACAACTTGGTTATTAAACAAAGCTAACTGATACAGCAATAGTGCTTATGTCTTATTTAAGCCTTCCTGTGCTTTACAGACTTATGAGGATTGGCCGCAAAGTTAATTTTTCATCGCTATTGTAATTACAAATGGTCACTTACTATACATGCATCTGAGCTCTTTTCAGACAACACAGTACAGTCTGTGTATATACATTTTCTCTCCCTCTCTCTCATATATATATATGATGATGAGAGCTAAATAGCTTGAAATAGATCTATACTTGTCTCCTTTTATTGATCAGCACAAATGCAACACAAATGTAACAAAGGCAACAGTAAAAATAATGGCTTTCTGTCTGGATGGTCTCTTGGGATGAGCCGATAGACAGAGAAAGGAAGCAATATGCTTCCTCCCATATTTGGGCATACCAGGGGTTTTGACACAAAATACATATATACACACACACTGTATTTTTGGACTATAAGACGCACCATGATTTCAAAGAGGTAAGTAAGAAAAAAAGGTTTTTGTCCTCCCTGGCCAACAAAAGGTTCTGGTTGCTTTGATTATCACAACCTCTATATGAATCAACAATGGGATGCAGCTATAAATAATTGCAGTCCTAGGCTGCATAAACATAAATAGAATAGCAAAGAGAAATAATCATTTCTCTTTGAAATGATGGACGACAAAAGTGTTCAGAATTGTACCAGAGTACAGGTCAAGAAATAATGGGTTTACAAGGAGATGGAATTTGGTTCTATATAAGGTAAAATTTCTTGATAGCCGTAGTTCAACAATGGGACAAACTACCTTGGGTTTTCTTTTGCTGAAGATCTTTAAACGGGATGGATCTCCATGTCAGGGATCTCCTATAGTAATGAGCTCCTGCGTAATTTCCCTTTCCCTTTCAACCTTCACGTATTTATGTATGTATTTCTATACAATGCCAGTGTTCATCGCAACGTTTCAAACCTGAAAGGGTTTTTAGGCTTGGAGCCTCAATAAATACTTGACTCCATTAAGAAATGGATATCTCCTTCATTTGCTGTGGTAAGCGTTTCATGCTTGCCACAGCAAATGTTGGTTAATCTAATAGTGCCCTGTACAAAAGCTTCCATGCGGTAGAATTGTGGTGAGTCAGCGCAGACTGTCAAGTAATATTGTACGATGCTATTTCTGTCCTATTTGTCTAATGGCAATCATCTAGCAGAATCTACTCTTAAAAAATTGAGTAGCCTTCAAGGTCCCCTCAGGGGAAAGTATTGCACTGGCTATAACCTCAAGGCATGGATAGCCAACGTATCACCAGGGGAGAGAAATACAGTTTTAAATGTTTAAGGTTAAATTCTTAATTAATAGCTACTTGGAAGAAAGTGTGCCTGCAGTAATAGGGTTTTCTATAAAAATGAATTTTGATTCTTCTTTCCCTTTTTAAATTAACTGCTTCCAGTCTGGCAGCTGTTTATTTCCTTTATACTTCTAAAAAGGTGGTTCTCTTAAAAGTATAGAGCACTTCAAAGTACTTAGTTTGGCACATCTTGATGAGTGACAGTGTGTCTGCTGAGACGTAACCACTGTGTTTTTATTAACATCTACAGCTCACTCCTGAATTCAGTCAGCATGTGAATAATAAAATCAAGGAGCTTCTCCAACAGATGGAAAGAGGTCTGAAATCTGCCGACCCCAGGGACTGCACTTGTTATACTGGCTGGGCAGGTAGGATGGGAGAGCTGCAAAATGTGAATGTTAAATAGCATGTTTTAAACTGGAGGTTTAAAGAATGGCTGGAGGACATACGGGTCTTATTTTACTGCTGGGATTGAATCTGTCTCAAAGAAGGAAAGACTTGGGGAATCCTGCAAATATTATTTATCAAGGGATTTGTAAGCTATTCATTTTTTTTTTTTCAGGGTGGATTGTCTCCTGAATTTCCAAAGTATTCCTGAATGTGATAGTAATTCTCTGGACAGAGAAAGAAAAAAGATTTCCTCTTTTTGGTATTGTTGCAGCCCATTTATAATGGCTGCCAACCTTTCTGTCTTATCAGAGATGTCTCTATGTCAGTGTTTCTCAACCTTGGTGACCTTTAAGTCCTGTGGACTTCAACTCCCAGAATCCCCCAGCCAGCTATGCTGGCTGGGGGATTCTGGGAGTTGAAGTCCACAGGACTTAAAGTCACCAAGGTTGAGAAACACTGACATAGAGACATCTCTGATAAGACAGAAAGGTTGGCAGCCATTATAAATGGGCTGCAACAATACCAAAAAGAGGAAATCTTT